GCACCCCAGGGCCAGCCCAGATGCGCTCCAAGGTTAGGCCATGTCGCGCGGGCTCAGCTGCCTGGCAGCCCCTGCTCTAGGTTGGCTGCTCAAGTGTGGACGGGCTCTCTGTCCCGGGGCAGTCACCAGAGCAGTTGGCCCGAGGGTGGCAGAAAAGAGCCCCGGGGCATGTCTGAGAGGTGCTGGGCCAGGACCCTGAGTCTAGCGCCAGAGAGAAAGGCCGGGAGAACTGGACTGGGGCCCACGTGGACAGCCACCACGTGGACAGCCACACTGGAGAGGACAGCCAGGGCCCGGGGCTGGGGGCTGGAGGGCCTGATGGGAGGACCCTCGGGGCTCCAGGCTGCAGACAGGTGGGGGTGCAAGCCATGCTGGGGGCTGGGCTCACTTCTGTTCTACACAGCCTGCTCAGAGGCTAGCACCGGCCTGGGCCATGCTGGCCCCGTGGGAGACCACCGGAGGGACCCCCCGGGATCAGTGAGTGTGCGTGGGCACTCAGCTTCCTCCTCCTGCTCCCCCCCCACGCCCCCCCTGCATGCACCCCAGCTGAGAGTCTGGCCTGGGAGCACGCGCATGCATGCACATGCTTGCACACACACACACATGCACACACAGGTGCACGCATACACATGCACACACATGCATGCATGTACACACATGCACATGCACACACACATGAACACACGCACATGCATGCATGCACATGCATACATGTACGCATGCACACTTGCACGCATGTGCACACATGCGTATGCACACGCATGCACATGCACGCATGCACACACACACACTCGCATGCGCACACACATGCACACATACACATGTGCACACATGCATGCATGCACATGCACACGCACACTCATGAACACACACATGCACACATGCACACACATGCACGCACATGCACATACAATGCACATGCATGCACACATACACGTGCACACACATGCATGCATGTACACACATGCACATGCACACACATGCATGCACACACATGCATACACGCACACATGCACATGCACACATGCATACACACTCACACTCGCATGCACACACATGCACACACATGTACACACAGTGGGAGCCCACGACCACAGTCAGACCCAACCCCCCCATCTGCGACTCGCTCTTCATTTCTGAATGAGGAAGCAGACAGATGGGGTTCGGCAGCCTTGCGGGACCCCTTGAGAACAGGGCTTGGACACCCCCAGCACCCATTAAGGTTCTAGGGCTTTCCTGCTCCCTCTCCTGCTCTCTCGGGGCTGTTGGGGACTCACCGAGGAACAGTACTGGGAAAACAGGGGCTCCCCCATGCATCCTCACCTCCTTTCCAAGTCTGCAGCCCCCAAAGGGCGCCCCCCTGAGTTTCAAGTTTCTGGGGCTTTCCTGCCTCACTCCCTCCCAGCCTCATGGACACTCCCTGCTCTTCCTCTGACTGTGGCCTGCCGGCGCCAAAGTAGATTTATGCCTGCGGGACTCTGGGTGTGTATGAAGGAGCTACGGCAGAACTCGGAGGCGTAAGAAGCTAGTGTATCGGCCAGTTGAATGGATGGTCCCGGGCCCTCCCCTGTGGCTGCGTCTCTCCCTTTACCTGTCTAGGACGTTACTTATCCCGTCCCCAGATCCCAGTCCAGACTTCATCCTCTGCCCACTGCCCCGGCCCCTCTCTCGTGGGGAGCCCCTCATGTCCTCCTCACTGACTCCAGCTCAGCGCTAACACAGCCTGTTTGCTCTCCCTGGGGCTCCTGCCTCTTCCCCAAAGCTCCCTGAGGCCAGGGGCCAGATTTGGCGGCTTAGCATGTTGATGCTGCTGTGTACCACATTGGATGTCCTGTGGACAGCATGTACCACCGGTGGCTCACACTTGGGTGTTCCATGGGCAGTGTGTACCACCGGTGGCTCACACTGGATGTCCCATGGATAGCGTGTACCACTGGTGGCTCACACTGGATGTCCTGTGGACAGAGTGTGCTGTGGGTAGCTCACACTGGATGCCCCATGGACAGTGAGGACCATAGGTAGTTCACACTGGATGTCCCGTGGACAGCGTGTGCCGTGAGTTGCTTCCATTGGGTATCCCATGGACAGTGTGTGCGCTGGGTGGCTCACACTTGGATGTCCCATGGACAGCATGTACCACCAGTGGCTCCCACTGTAAGTCCCATCAGACAGACTGTGCCACCAAACATACACGATAGATACAAAGGGTTCAACAAATAGAAAAACCCTGCCAAATAATCAAAAATAAATGTACTTATTGATCACTTCAAAGATTCCAATGTACTGAAAAAAAGTAGGAGTCATTTCATGAAGCCGCCAGAGGACAAGAAACCCCTTCTGGGGCCGGCATCTGAAACTCTGCCCAGCATGTTGCGTGTTCAGGACCCAGTGCCAGGGCAAGGATGAGGGACATGGTGGCCCAGCACTCGCCTTGTTTGTGTGAGGCTCTGGGTTCGGCCCCCAACACTGCAAACCTAAAGCATCCCAGTGGCCGGCCCCTCATCCTCTGCCTCCATTCTGGTGGCTCTACCCTTCGGGGCTCCCAGCGAGGGCCTGGGAATAGCTCAGACTTGGAAAGGGCCCAGGGCACAGGGACGAAGGCCTTGAGCGTCACCCCGGGGGTCTCAGCCATCTGAGACCGGCTGTCTGGGGGCGCTGGAGAGAAGGGAAGGACCTCCTGGATTTCTCTGTCCTCATCACCTGCCGGCCGCCCTGGCCTCCCTGGGCGCCCGTCCTGACCAGCTCCCCGTATCTCGTGACTGCGCAGGGGGCTGCCAAGTGCGGGCCCAGTGCTGGAGTGACCACTTCCTGCGGGTGACCGGTGTGGCCCCCGCCCCCTCTGCTCAGTCTGGTGACGTGGGTGCGGGGTGGGGCCACTACACTTCAGGTGAGGACCCGCTCACAGTCGCTGCGGCCTTTGTACTGCAGGCTCTGAGACCGAGTCCTGAGGCTGAGAAGGTCTTGACCCGCACGGACCCTTCTCAGGTGGACAGCAGAGCCCTGGGTGGAGCCTGCGCTGGCCTCTGCTGGGCAGGCGGGAACAAGGAGAGCCGCCTTCGGAGGCGGCGGGTTGGGCCGTACCCAGCAATGCCTCTGACTTTGGGCTCCGTTGCTTGGGGGTCCGTGCAGTGCCCAGGCTGCAAAGGAACGGTGACACTCTGCCCTCGGGCCAACTCTCCAGTCCCACAGATCACACTTGACAGTCCCTTGGTTCCCTGACCACCTAATTTGTGAAAACGGAGTGAGAGAAACTAAACAGAAAACACCTCTCGGCCCTGTTAGGGTGAGAGGGAAAGCTCCTCTGTGAAACTGAGTCTGCAAACTCAGCTGGAAGGCTTCCTGGAGGAGCTGGCCTTTCACAGAGAGGAAATGGAGAGGCGGAGAGGCAACAGGCAGGGTGGGGGAGGGGGGCTCACTTAAGGGGTGTCCGTTCTGGCACCTCTGGGTCACAGAGAGAATTGGGTGAGCAGTTTCTGAGCAGCCCAGGGCCAGACAGTTTTCTTTCTTTTTTTTTTCCTCAAATTTTGTTTTTTGAAATATATATATATATATTAAATTTTGATCCAACGGAAAAAAATTTTGATCCAATGATGCTTAGGGGGTCACTCCTGGCTCTGCACTCAGGGATCACTGCTGGCGGTGCTCAGGGGGACCATATGGGATGCCGGGGATAGAACCTGGGCTGGCCACCGGCAAGGCAAGCTCCCAACCCCCTATACTGTCTCTCAACACACCCTCCCTCCACCGTTTCCCAGCAAGGGGCGGGAGGCGGAGGAAGGGCTGACTCAGCCCAGAGCAGCCAGTGTCAATAGCTGAGGGGGATTCCAGGGCACCACGTGTCCTCTGTGGCACTGGGCACTCAGCTTCTCAGGAACTGCACCTGGACACCTATGTCTGCGCCCACGGCTCTCCAAGGGAGCAGAATGAGATGGTGGGGGGGTGGGGGGCGAGAGTGGTGCCTGCCGGGCCTGCTGGAGGAAGGGGGCTCGCCACACTCACCTGGAGCTGGAGACAGAAATAAAGGCCCCAGCCCTAGGGGGGATTCCAGGTCCCCGTTCTTTTCTGTCTCCTCCCCTTCCTTGTGCAGAGTGGGGACATTCCTGCTCCTGCCTTCCCCAGTGAGGACTGAGGGGGGACTGATGTCCCTTACTATTCACACTCAGGGACGAGCCACCTCCGTGAGACCCAGAAATGGGCACTGAAGAGAGGGGAACAGGGGAGCGGCCGCAAGCCTGGGGGGACCTGGGCGAGGCAGCCCACAGCATCCCGTGGGCTCCGAGCACTCCAGGTGTCCCCTGAGTCCCTTGATGGACCCGTGGCAGGGTTATCTCGGGGAGACAACGCCCCACACCCTTCGTACCCGCAGCCCCGCGCCCTGGAGACCAGAGAGCTGGAGGAAGCGCCCGTGGACGTGCGTGCGGGGACCGGCCTGGCTCCCCACGGGCGGCCCTGGTAAGCAGGGGGCGGCGCTGCCAGGGGGTGGCCCCGCCGGACCATCCCATCGGTCCATCAGGTGGGAGAGGAGGCCCGCGGAGGCGGGGGCGGGGCTGGTGCTGGGGCAGGGCCGCCCCCCGGCGCCCGCCAGGCCCCGGCTGCCCATAAAAGGCCTGGGGCGCCCGGAGCGCAGGGCCGCCGCCCCCGCGCGCAGGAATGTGAGGAATCTCCGCGCGCAGCTGCTGCCCACCGGCCGCGGGAGGGCACGGGGGGCGCGCGGGGGGCGCAACTGCCCGCCCGGGGGCTCCCCGCGCGCGCGGAACTGGAGCGGAGAGCTCGGGGCGGCCGGCCCTGCCCGTCGGGGCCGCGCCCACGGGCCCCGGGCGCCTCCCGAGCGGGGTGGGCGCGGGGTGGGCGCCCCGCCTGGCCACTGGGGGGAGCCGCGAGCCCGGGTGGCCCCGAGCGCTCACCTGGCCCTGGCCCTGGCCGGGGAGGGGCCTGCGCCCGCGGCCGCGTTGGCGCAAAGTGAAACTCGCCGGGCTGGGCACGGCCGGGCACGGCGGGCGGGCAGGCGGCGGTGCCCATGGCGCTCAGCAAGGGGCTGCGGCTGCTGGCGCGGCTGGACGCGGCCGGGGACTGCAGCGTCCTGCTGGAGGCGCGCGGCCGCGGGGACTGCCTGCTCTTCGAGGCGGGCGCGGTGGCCACGCTGGGTGAGTGACGCGGGGCGCTGGCCGCGCGGGGCGGCGGGCGGGGGCGCGGCCGGAGGGGACCCCGGGGACGGGCACGGGGCCGTGGTGGCCGGGCCGCGCGGGTGGGCCGCGGGATGCGCCGGCTCCGGCCTCTCTCGGACCCCCTCCCGCCTGCCGCCTGGCACGGAGCGCGCGCGGAGCCGGGACGGACGCGCCGGGGGCACCCAGGAGCCCTCGCCACCCGCGCCCTGGCGCTCTTTTTCCTTTGGCACCTGTTGAGCGAGCCAGTGAGAGAGTGCCCGCGGGGGGTTGGGTCACCCCGGGCGTGGGGTGGGGACAGGCTCCGGAGAAAACCGTTGGTGGCACCTTTGTCTCCTGCGAATCCTTGGCCTGGAAGCCCCGCCGTACCTACCCTCTGCGCCGCCCCGCCTCGCCGCGCTTGAAGTTAGGCGCCAAACCCTCTCTTTCCCCCGCGGCCCCCTGGCAATGGTATTGTGCCAGACAGCTCCTTTAATTTTCACACTTCTACAAGAATAGCTGTTAACCCCATATTATGGATGAGCAAACTGAGGCCCCCAAGAGGGGAAGGAACTGCTTCCTGGAGATTGCCACAGGGGTCAGAGACCCCAAGGGCCGCTCCTGGAGGACACCCGCTGTCCCAGATGAGACCCCCGCCAGGTAGTGACACCAGGTAGGAGTGCCAGAGCTTTAAGGCGAGTCTTCTGTCTGGTGACCAGCTTGACTAAGCAGAGTGCTGGGAGGGGGTCCCCATGGGGGTGCATGGCTGGTGCACCCACTCTCTGGCCTCCTTTGCACACGTTGCTTGGGGGTCCCCACACTGGAGGGACCGTCTCCTCTCTTTCTGCTTGCCGCACCATTTCATTAGCATCCGGTTTAAAATGGTTCAAATGCCGCCAAGTCCTGCCAGTACCGACAGTGCGCGGGAGCATCATGAATTAAATTATTATCAGATCATCCCCGTTTTGTACTCTGCCCTGGAAAGTTCCAAGTTTGGTCATCTGCTGAGGTCTCAAGAGAAAACCACAGACAGAACCTTCCATTCTGTTTTGCATTTTGTACCACATGTAAGAGAGCCAAGGGATTTAATGTCATGGGCCAGAACTACCGAAGTGGTCTTCTTGGGGATCCGCGCCGTGGTGAGCCCACCGAGACCCTCTGAAGGGCGCCTGGCGAGCTGCTGGAGAGAGAGAAGATTCTCCTTTCCCAAGTGAAGGCTCAGAAATGAGTCATCAGGCATGTAATGCGCATTTTCCATTAGGAAGTTCAGTTCGGGCTGAGGTGCGCGCACATTTTGTTACTCTGGGTTCTGGAACAAAGGGTCTGAGGAAAGGAATTCCCACATCCTCAGCACATGCGCCGTCTGCCACTTCACCCAGCACTCACCCAGCGTTCAGTAGACTGTGGGCTGAACACTTAGTTTTTAAAATCATTTGGTGGTGGGCCAGAGATAGTACAATAGGTAGGGCGCTTGCCTTGCACGCAGACGACCTGGGTTTGGTCCCCAGCATCCCATTTGGTTCCCCAAGCCCGCCAGGAACACTCTCTGAGCACCCCAGGTGTGGTTCCCCAAAAAAACAAAACAAAAAAATTATTTGGTGGGGTAGAGGGCTTGTGCTCAGGGCTGACTCATGTCTCTGTGCTCTGCGCTCACTCCTGACAGTGCTTGGGGGACCATGTGTGTGCTGGGGATCGGTCCAGGGTGTGCACATACAAGGCAAATGCCTTTGCCCTGTACTATCTCACTGTCACCGTCACTGTCCTCCAGTTGCTCATCGATTTTCTCGAGCGGGCCCAGTAACGTCTCCATTGGAGACTTTGTTGTTACTGTGTCTGGCATATCGAATACTCTCGGTAGCTTGCCGGGCTCTCCGAGAGGGGCGGAGGAATCGAACTCGGGTCGGCCATGTTGGCCGCGTGCAAGGCAAACGCCCTACCGCTGTGCTATCGCTCCAGCCTTTAAAAGTACTATCTCACCTGTCCCTTAAATCTTTGGGGTCGCACTGGTAGTGCTGAGGGCTACCAGCCCAGCCCAGGTTACTTTTGGTGGTGAGCAGAGGAATGGGTCCAAACCTGGGCCTCCCTCATTGCTGGCTCCTTGGGTGATCTCTCCTGCTCCCCTTATGTCTTTTTAAAAATGAAACTTAAGTGAAACTTTGTACCAAGTAGTTGTAGCGTTTGGTGGCACCACTGGTGCAGAGAACGGCAGTAAAGGGTCTGTTACCGGGAGGGCGTTTCAGGGGTTTGGGGACTCCTGGATATGTCATGATTAGGCAGGGTGTGTCTGAACCTGAAATTCCCATCCTGTCCCAAAGATCTTCCTTTCTGTTTTTTTTTTCCTTGTTTAAAATACCTTTCTAGAAGGCCTGTGTGTTTGCGTGTGTGTGTGTGTGTGTGTGTGAGTGTGTGGTCGCATGCATGTGTGTTTGTGTGTCTGTGTGTGTGTGTGTCTGTGGTCGCATGCATGCATGTGTGTTTGTGAGTGCGTGCATATGCATGTGTGTGTGTGTGTGTGTGTGTGTGCGTGTGTGTGCATGTGTGCAGGGCCTGGTGGCCACCCGCAAACCTTGTTGTTCTCAGCAGAGACTCCTTGTGTGCAGGCCCAGTGCTCCTCTTCACTCCAGCTGCCATTTCTGGCATGCCCCCCTCCCCCAGTGAGACCCCTGGACTTCCTCTCCAGGTGGGCTTCGGTTTCTGAGGGCCCCTGCCTCGGGGAGCACAGATAGCTGGGAACAGGCTCCTCCAAGGCCCGCGGTCCAGGAGCCCAGCTGGGAAAGACCTTTCACCTCTGCCCTTCCTGGCCCTGCGCACGCCTGTCTGGGAGAGCCGAGTCCCGTGATTGGGGCAGCCGGCGGCGGAGGCCTTGTCCGCGGGCAGGAATGGCGCGTCCAGACTCTGCGGCCTTTCCACGGAGGACCCGCCTTTGAAGTGGCACCCTGGCTGCGTATTCCAGAGGAGAAAAGTAAAACGAAGACCCGCAACCACCACACACACACAGGCAGCCCGTGGACAGGCCTCTAGGACGGTCCTGTGACCTCACTGCGGGACAGGCGGCTGCCGGGTCAGAGCTCCCTGGCAGAGCCCCTGATGAGGCGTTTGCTGCGGGTGCTGGGCACTGGGTTTCTGGGTGCGACTCCAGCTCATGTCTGCTGTGCTCCTGCCGCCACATTCAGAGAGAGTGCTCCAAAACTCAGTGCTCCCTAGACAGTGCCCTGCCAGCCAGTGTTTGCCTGGGTGTTGAGGAGCGGGGGGTCCCTGTTTACTGGGTGGTGGGGAACGGAGGTTCCTATTTACTGGGTGTTGGGAACAGGGGGACCCTGTTTGTGTGGGTGTTGTTGGGGAGCAGGGGACCCTGTTTTCAGGGTGTTGGGGATCAGGGACCCGTTTTCGGGGTGTTGGGGAGTGGGGGACCCTGCTCCCAGCAGGGTGTCTCTCCTGGCACCTCCCTTGCTGTCTGTCTGGCCACAGCCGGGGGCGGGAGGAAGCTTGCAGGATTCGGTTAAGTTCATCAGTGCGGGCCCCTCACTGACCCATTGCCGCCAGAGTGGGACAGAAGGGTGCTGTGTAAACAGGGGTTCCGGGTGACCCCGCTACTGTGCCAGGATCACAGTGTCCCTTTTGTTTGCCTGGGAGATACCTCTGTCCGCCTCCTTCGTTTCCTGGCCCACATTGATTTGTTCGGTGGCCTGAACTTTGGCTTCAGAGTGTGAGTGGCCGTTCTCTGGGGTCGGGGGGGGGGGGGCGGTGAAGCTGGGAGTCCCGGGAGTGCCCGGTGGAGCCCCCTGCTCTCCCCTGGTCACGGAGAATCCTTCCATGAGGCCCCCCTCCCCACCCCTGCCCATCTGCTGGGCTATGTGCTGGCAGTTGTCCTGGGCAAGTTTCCTCAGCATAATATTGACACAAACGCAAATCAGGAGGGAGTGTGTGTGTGTGTGTGTGTGTGTGTGTGTGTGTGTGTGTGTGCTGTGATTGAAAATCTGGCTGGCTCTCCTGGGAGTGGCATGGCTCAAACCCTTTTCTCTCCACCTTCCTTGTGGAAGTCTGCAGACATGGACGAGTGGAAGGGAGCGAGTCCCAGGTGGCCCTGGAAAGTCACCTTTGTGTCCCCCACATCACGGGTCCCTGTGCTTTCTCTGAGCAGCAAATCTCCTGCAGTTCAGTTCACCTAATGCCAAGCGTGTTTCCTGTGCTGGGAGTAGTCTTCCTCTTTGCTGACTTGCAGTCCTGGGCATGAGTGCAGACGTGGCCCCTGCAGGGTCTAGCTCGGGGCTGGAACATTTGATGGTGAAGTTGACCGCAGGTTCCGGAGGACAGCGCGGCTGAGAGGGTGCATTGCTTCTACCACTCTCGTCCAGAGACATTGTTTTTCCTCCTTTATAGCACAGCGGTAGGGCGTTTGCCTTGCACGTAGCCGACATGGCCGACCCGAGTTCAATTCCTCCGCCCCTCTTGAAGAGCCCGGCAAGCTACCGAGAGTATCTCGCCCGCATGACAGAGCCTGGCAAGCTCCCCGTGATGTATTCGATATGACAAACACAGTAACAACAAAGTCTCCAATGGAGACGTTACTGGGTCTGCTCAAGCAAATCGACGAACAACGGGAGGGCCTTTACCTTTTATTATTATTATTATTATTATTATTTTTTTTTTTTTTTGCAGATCCTCCTAGTAGTATTCAGGGGCTGGGGCCACTCCTGGTGATGCCAAATATTTTTCCCAACAGTTTTCTAGCTCGGTTTCAAACTGAGTGGGGGGCATGTGAGGCTCCGTGTCCACTGCCTCAGACGCTGGCAAGGTTTTGGGGGGCTGACCCCCTGAGAGCTCCCTGCGTGCTGGCTTCCTGGGGCCATCTGTAGCTGGCATATGGTGTGCTGTTGGGCTGACTCAGTCTGCCCACCGGAGGATAGGGAATATTTCCTGGATTTCCCCCACCCGCACATACTTGGCATGCCCTTAAGACCCCGCCAGCCACCCCAGGCACAGTAGGGACTTAGACTGGGGTC